TGATCTTACACGTGTACATACCGAGAACAGAGCCTTAAAATGCACGAAGCAAAAACCAATAAAGCTGAAAGGAGAAATAAACAAAACTGCAACTGTAAGTTTGGACAACACTCCTCTCAGCAATTGATAACACTACTAGACATAATTTTTAAAACTGTAGTGATTTATCAAAAAATGGAGTAAATAATATAAAATAATACAAAATTAACAGTGTGTCTGATAATGAGAAGCGTCATTTGCAGATTCCTTCCTTTGGCAGACCTTGATTGGGCAGGTTTGATGTGCATGAGCTTAGCACAGGATGAACTTGGATGTGTTCCAGAGCTAATGTCTGGACTTGTGTCTGCAGCTGTGGCCACTTTACCCTCCTTCAGATCTGAAGCCACTCTTGCTCTCAGAGGCACACAGAAGAGACATCGGGCGCATGGGAAGCACTGCTCAGCAGCCTCAGTGGTGCACCAAGCACATTAGCAAAAGCACCTGCCATGAATTCCAGGCCTTCAAAAGTCACTGACCACCATAACCATCAACCAGATGGATCCCACAGCTGGGGGACACATAGATGCCACATAATTCCCGGCCTTGGACTGTCTCTCTCCATGTAATCAGGTGATACCAGAAATCCCAGGAGCTTCTGATCCTCAAGAGCTTTTTCTGAAACTGGTCTGGGAAGTCACCCAACATCTGTAGCTAAACCTGTGCTTTCAGGGCTTTGCAAAACTGTGAGTCCTGCCTGGTCAGTCTGTTTGATGGAAAGCAGGAATTTCTCTATACTATGCACCGCAGAGCTTACTTCTTTCTAGATTACTCTTCCTGCCATGTATCAGTAAGCCCCCTCCCTTCACCAAGCCACCATTACTAGCGAAATGTTGTCTCCTCTGGATGCTCAGCAGCTCCCTTCCTAAAATGCAGCTTTCAGGCCTGGACACAATATTCCAGCCATGATACCAGGAAGCAGGCATTCATGCCACCATCTCCTTCTCTATCCAGCCATTTAATGCCATTATTGCAAACTTTTGGGGTGCCCAAGACATGTTGTTTATAATATTGAAAGTTTTGGTATCCACAAACTAAGATTTTTAAAGAGTACTATTAATTTCTCCTTCATCCTGTACTTGTGTCGTGTGTGTGTGTGTGTGTGTGTGTGTGTATGTTTAAATAAAATTTAACTCATACAAATAATTAATCTCAACAAAGAGCTTTACATTAATACACAAGACATTTCATTCTATTAGTTTTAAACTTTCTAGAGTTTGGAAGTCCTTTTCTTCCTGTCTCTTTTTTAAAATCCGATTTTTTTTTTTTTTAAAGGAGTGTCACTCTGTCGCCGGACTGGAGTGCAGTGGTGTGATCTCGGTTCACCGCAACCTCCGCCTCCTGGGTTCTTGCAATTCTCCTGCCTCAGCCTCCCGAGTAGCTGGGACTTAGGGCGCACACTGCCACGCACGGCTAATTTATTTTTTATTTTTATTTTTTGAGACGGAGTTTCGCTCTTGTTACCCAGTCTGGAGTGCAATGGCACGATCTCGGCTCACCGCAACCTCTGCCTCCTGGGTTCAGGCAATTCTCCTGCCTCAGCCTCCTGAGTAGTTGGGACTACAGGCACGCACCACCATGCCCAGCTAATTTTTTGTATTTTTAGTAGAGACAGGATTTCACCATGTTGACCCGGATGGTCTCGATCACTTGACCTCGTGATCCACCTGCCTCGGCCTCCCAAAATGCTGGGATTACAGGCGTGAGCCACCGCACCAGGCCTTGTAAAGTGTCTTCTTACTGACTCTGCCCATTAGAATTCACTCTATCTGCCATACTTCTCCAGCCAATCAACCTTTTAACATTGGTGCTATAAAAACCATCAAAGAGGAAATTAGTACAGAGAAAAGCAACAGGTGAGCACAAATCAGGGGGTTGGGGAGGAAGTCAAGGGCTTGTTTTTCCATCCCCAGTTAGAATCAGCACATATAAAAACACTGGTGGAGAGAAAGTCCGGATTGCAGCCATTCATTAAAAACCTTTCATTTTGGCCGGGCGCGGTGGTTCAAGCCTGTAATCCTAGCACTTCATGGGAGGCTGAGATGGGCAGATCTCGAGGTCAGGAGATAGAGATTATCCACCTAACATAGTGAAACCCCATTTCTACTGAAAACACAAAAAATTAGCCAGGTATGATGGCATGTGCTGTAGTCCTAAATACTCAAGAGGAGGAGGCAGGAGAATTGCTTGAACGTGGGAGGTTCAAAAATAAAAATGATCAATAAACACATAAAAAGTTTACCTCATTTATAAAGATAGAAATTAAAAGAAAAGAGGTGTCATTTTTCCCCCACCAATCAAATAATGAAGTAGAAAAGACAATACTATCTGGTGTTTGTCAGGATAAATATAAAGGACCCTCTTATCACTGATGGTAAAGGTATAAATTGATGCAACCTTTCTGAAGGACAACTTTTCAATATGTATCAAAAGATATTTTATCCAATAATTTAAATTATTTGGAATTTCTGTTGGGAAAACTATCACAGAATCATGTATTTATGACCTAGATTGTTAATCTCAAGTCGTTTTGTTTTTCAAAAAGTTAGGAGCCATCTAAAGGATATGAAGGGAATATTACAAACAACTCTACACACATAAATTTGACAACTCAGATGAAATGGACCAACTTCTCAAAAAGCACAGTACTCTAACTCACCCAGTATCAAATAGATAATGTGAAAGGCTAGTTTCAGGGCTCAACCATTAAACAATAGAATACAGGCTGGGCGCGGTGGCTCACCCCTGTAATCCCAGCACTTTGGAAGGCCGAGGCAGGTAGATCACGAGGTAAAGAGATCGAGACCATCCTGGTCAACATGGTGAAACCCCGTCTCTACTAAAAATATTAAAAAAAAAAAATTAGCTGGGCATGGTGGCGCGTGCCTGTAGTCCCAGCTACTTGGGAGGCTGAGGCACGAGAATTGCCTGAACCCAGGATGCGGAGCTTGCGGTGAGCTGAGATCTCGCTATTGCACTCCAGCCTGGTTGACATGAGCGAAACTCCATCTAAAAAAAAAAAAAAAAAAAAAAGAATTCAAATAAGAAGTCTGCAGGCCCAGATGTTTCACTAGAAAATTATACTAAATGTTCAAAGTTTATTCAATCTCTTCCAGAGAAAAAGAAGAGAAAGGAACAGTTTCCAGTTCATTTTATAAAGCCAGCATTACCCTGATGCAAAAACCAGACAGTGATAGTAAAACTGACCCAATAATATCATAGACGGTTCTTTTGGAGAAACACAGAAAACGACCTTTTTGTTCTTAAAGCTTGAAGCTTACATTTGTTTTATCTGAGTTCTTTTCTCAGAAAAGGACATTCAGACCTCACAAAAAGAGTATAGAGAACTGAAGCTCACCAGATCACCCCATCCTGACAATGAGAAACCTGAAGCCCTCACTCCTCATGACTCTTCCTTGCCCCTTTCTAGTTCCTATATTTTTACACATTGTCACATTTCTTCTCTGTTATATAAACCCCTAGTTTTAGTCTGTCGGGGAGATGGATTTGAAACTGAGCTCCCATCCTCTTGGCTGCAGCACCTGATTAAAGCCTTCTTCCTTTGCAATACTTGCTGTCTCAGTGACTATGTTTTTGTCTCAAAAGCAGCAAGAGCTAGACCAAACCCCTGGTGTTTGGGTAACAATAGTTAAAAAAATCAATAAACGCAAAATCCCTTAACAAAATATTGGCAAATAGAATTCAACAACGCATAAAACAAATTATACACCATGACTGAGTGGGGTTTAGTCTGGTAATGGAAGGCTGGTTTAGTATTCAAAATCAGTCAGTGTAATTCACCATATCGACAGGCTAAAGAAGAAAAATCATATAATTACATCAACTGATGGAGAAAAATCACTTGAACAAATTCAAAAATCACTCATGACTTGAAAAAGAAAATCGCCGAGGTGGGAGGCAACATAACATGACACCATCTCAAAAAAAAAAAAAACCAAATTAGTCAGAGAGGTGGATGGTGGTACATGCCTGTGGTCCCAGCTACTTGGGAGGCTGAGATGGGAGGATAGCTTGAGCCTAGGAGTTGGAGGGTGTAGTAAGCCGTGTTTGCAACACTGCATTCCAGGCTGAGCAACAGAGTAAAAGCCTGACTCTGAAAAAAAAAAAAAAAGTCTTAGCAAACAAGAAATAGAGGAGGAGCTCCCCACAACTCTATCAGGTACATCTACAAAAATCTATAGCTAGCATTATATTTAATGGTGAAAAAGTGAATGCTTATCCTCTAAGAACAGGAGCAAGGCAAGGATATCCTCCCTCACACTTTTACTCAACATAAGTAGTCCTGGAAGTTGTAGTCAGCACAATAAGGCAAGAAAAATAATGTAAATGAAACAGATTGGAAAGCAGTTAATAACATTGTCCTTCTTTGCAGATGGGGTGATTATGTAGGAAATCCCAAGGACGTCACAAACAAAAACCCAAAACACTCCCTAGAACGAGTGAGTTCAGCAAGGTCACAGGATACAAGACCAAAATACAAAACCAACTGGATTTCTATATATTAGCAATAAACTCATTCATAATAATTAAATTTTAAAATATGTACTATTAACAATCAGTAAAAATAATAATAATAATTGGAGGGCCAAGCAAGGTGACTCATGTCTGTAAACCCAGCACTTTGGGAGGCTGAGGCAGGTGGATCACCTGAGGTCAGGGATTTGAGACCAGCCTGATCAACATGGAGAAACCTCTTCTCTATCGAACATACAAAATTAGCCAGACGTGGTGGCACATATCTGTAGTCCCAGCTACTTAAGAGGCTGAGGCAGGAGAATTCCTTGAACCCAGGGGGCAGAGGTTGCAGTGAGTAGAGATCATGCCATTCCACTTCAGCCTGAGTGACAAAGCGTGACTCCATCTCAAAAAAAAGGAATGGTATAACTCTAAAAATCAAGTGTAGGATTCTTATGCTGAAAACCACTACAGGTATGCATATATATATTTATGTGTGCGTGTAAACTTACATATATATGAATCTGTGTGTGTGTATGTGTTAATTGAATGTAACAAACATGGCCCAGATTGTGTTACAAATAAGACGGAGTGGCTATCTCCCTCAGGTTGCTTACAGTATAGCTGGGAAGTCAGACACTAAATCCATGAATGAAAATGTGTTGGGGACTTCAAAGAAGCCACTGAGCGCTCATTGCATCAAGCACCTGGAAGACCAAACCATGAGGTCAGAGCATGGACAGTAAAACCATTCGGGTTTATAAGGCTTCTAACTCTACATCACCAGAATGTCCTCTAATTCTACATTTCTGGAGGAGAGAGGCTGATTGGGTCACTCTGGGTCAGGACTCTATCTCCTATGCCATCAAGAGTGTGTGTGTGTGTGGTGGGTGGTGGCATGAATCAATATAAACATAGCAGCCAAGAGTCCTAATTTTGAAGAAGGAGACGAGGAAGAACCATTTGTACTGGCTGGATGCACCAAGGGCTACAGTAAAAACTAGGAAGAACACCGAGATTTAAAGAACCAGAGGAAGAGGAGCTGTGGGGAAGAGAAACAAATGAGGAGCATCCACAGAGTCAGAGAGAAAGCCAGAGTCAGGGCTTCCTGCTGCTGAGTGAGTTGTGCAGCTGCTCCAGCTGCAGATTGCTAATTTCAGGTTGTTTTGTTCTCAGAGTTCTCCCTCTAAGCCACGGAGGTGACAGTCCTACATACTTCAGAGGATGTTGAGTGTGCAGAATAAGACGCTGCACCCTCAGCTCAGTGATACGTGAGGTGTGACTATACTGACTCAGGAGTGCGGCTTATGACGAAGAAGGGCTGTGATTTTATCTGGGAGTGCTTTTCTTGGCAGGCTGCAGACACATGCGTTTGGAAAATATGAAGGAAGAAGTCCCAAAATGGCCTTTGCCATGGCTCAGCTAGAATTGTCAGTAACATAGCAACTCATTTCCTCTGGATAGATTTGTGGCAGCTTAAAATTCTAAGAACTGCACTTCCTTCAGTGGTTCAAGGATATCTGAATCCCAGGCCTCTGACTAAGGGTTCTCTCCTAAGAAAATAACATACGATATTTCTCTCCTCTCTTCCACAGACCTCAGAGGATAAGCCTTCTGAAAGGGACACCCTGCAGCCTGGCCACAACAATGTGGCCACGGATTATGCCCTAGAGGGTGGCACAACCCTGGTGGCGCTCTCCACAGGGCAAGGGGTGGACCTCTTCATGCCTGACCCGGTATGTACAGAATATGGCAGCATCTGGGCTTGGGGACTTGATGGGCCTCTGTGCTTCAGTGCGAGTCCCCTGAGGTGATTTCCTGGTCATTCCTAATACTTGTTTTGGGGGTCAGAGAGCCTGGAAGCCTGGTTTTGGGAGCTAGCACCATCATGAGAAACCATGAAGGGCCTCTTTTCTAGTGAGGGCACCGGGGGTAGGAGTGTCCTGCAGAGCCGGTTGCATCAACTCAGGCCGTGTCCTCGAGTTCATTTTTCAAAAATGCACTCAATCTCTTTGGCTTTTGAGAACTCCATGATTTAAGAATCGCCACACTGCGAGTTTCCAGACAGAAGCATGAATTCTTTAGAGCAGCCCCATCCAGTAGAACGCTCTGTGAATTTTGCTTTTAAAGTGGATGCCTTGTCTATCACTTGTGAAATGCTTTGCCAAGTATACTGAGGTCTTGTGAAAACTCAGATAATGTTGACCAATGACCACTTCAAAACCTCTTGTGTTCACTTAGATGAAAGGTCAGTATTTAAATTTAATTTAGATGTACAGATGTTACTGGGCAGGTACTGTGTCCCAAAGCACCATTTCAGGCAGTGGAGATACAGCGTTGACACATGGCAGCCTTTGTGGAGTTCACATGTCAGTTTATATATGTGGAGAGAGGGGGGTTGCAAATTTCAAAATGGAACAGTTAACTAACAAAACAGCGTTTACCGTATGGAAATCGAGAAACTTTTCAAATAGAATCTTTTCACCTATAAACCCATTAGACCAAGACCCATTGCTGTGCCAATTTCCCAATGCCACAGTTTCCCTTTATTTTCAAAGAAGCCAGAAAACCCTGAGAAATCTATGGCTTACACATATTACTCTCGGGCAATTATAGAATAACAGCTAACACATAATTCTTAATGAGTTGAAGGAATGTAGGTACCTGTCCTAGGGAATTTACATCTATTAATGCATTTAAACATGACAGCAGCCCTGTGAGGTAAGTCTTACCATTATTTATATTTTCAGATGGGGAAAGGGAGGCACAGAGAGGGTGAGTTGCCTAAGGTCAAGCTAGTGACCGCTGGTGTCAGGTGTCACACTCTGGCACTCTGTGCTTTAACTAGTATACCAGACCCAATTTCAAAAACAAATGCTCTTGAGTACAAGTAAAATATTTCCAAGAACATTCTGAGCAGTTCTAAAGGCAATGGGAGGTGCTTTGACTCTGGGAACTAACTCCAGGATTCCCAGGCACAGACAGAGCCTGCTTTCTACCCTCAAACATGACAGCAGGGCCCAGTCCAGACATAAGTGGGCACCAGAGCTTGTCGCCTTGACAAAAGGAAGAGGTGAACCATAGCATAATCTTTCCTGTTCTCCGTGTATTATCCTGAAGTCCCTTTGGATCAAGTCACCCAAGTATAAAGAACATTTGAGCAAAGACTCTGCACAAAGCTTAGTGTCTGTTTGGGATGTTGACGTCCAGTGGACGTAGCTGGTGGCAGTTGTCACAGATAGAAATACCATGGAGGGCAGCCAGCAGTGATGGAGGCAGCATTCTTTAGTGGCTCAAACCCAGCCTGTGAGATCTGTGGGTTTGCAGAGCTGGTGATTTGATTTTGTCAGAACACACATATTGTTCTGCACAGAGTAACCACCTCCTGTTAACCAACTCCCCCTTGTGGGATAAAGCTCAATGTCAAGGCATTCGTTGACAAACAGGAGCCCTTGTTTCTCAGTGACAAGGAGTTGGTGCCTGATCATCAGGGACCCTCTTATCAGAGTGCATGAGAGCCCATATTAAAAATCAGCGGTTGCTGGTGACCACACAATCAGAATAAAAGGACGTATTTTCCAGGTTAATAAAATGATGGAAACAACATTCCAGGGGCCTGAAAGTCCCTGCCCCAGCCCCGGGAGTGGATCAAACCAAGGCATTTTCACCCACCCTGATGCAGAATGAGCTCCTCCATTCAGGTGGAGAGTGAGTACCACTGTTCAGATGACAGCTGTGCATCTGCACGCTTTCTGCTGAAAAGCAAGAACAAAATCGAACCTGGCTCAATTAAGTGAAAGGAGTTACTGCATTGATGGCGATACGAGAAGAGGGGCAGAGAAATGCTGGGAGGGTCTCTGGTGAGGGCTTTACCCCTGGGCCTATGCCCACGGAACTAGGTGAGGACAGGCATTTCTGTTTCAGTGCCCAAATGTTGTATTTCCCAAGACCACCTTGACCTGCCACACCCCCATCCTGTGCCTTTAAAATCCCTGAGACCCCGGTAGGCACACACACAAGCAGCTGGATGTCAAGAGGAACATATTGATGGAAGAACACACCAACGTTGAACAGCGGATGGCGGAAGATAAGGCAGGGGCTCTAACGCAGGCTGCCTGTGGACCCACGGATAAAGTGGAAGAGCACACTGTAACATCCACCCACTGGGGCTTCAGCTGTAAACATTCACAGCTAGATGCTGCCGTGGGGTGGGAGCCCCACAGACTGCCTGACTGCATGCCTCCCCCTAGAGGTTTGAGCCACAGTGCAAGGACACAGCGAGTCATACCCCATCACATGCCCTACGACAAGGATAAGGGAACTTCTCCCGTTTCAGTGAGAAAGTTGAGGCCTTGGCTAGGACCGGGCAGGGTTAGAGGACCAGGAAGCAGGAAGCACGTCACTGGTGTTGCAACACGGCCAGTCTGTCCTGGACACCAAACCTCTCACTCAGGTTTCAAATCCCGGGGAGGGTGTCTACTTTTTAAGCTAAGGCACATGCTGACCTTGGACTAGAAGAGGCCCAGATACGAATCCTTCTAGACTGGCATCCAACTCTTTAAGGGATGTCAAGGCATTTTTCAGAAGTGGAACTCAATGCTGGGCTGCTCCAAAGCAACACATGCCCACAGCGAGTTAAAGCTCATGAGACAAAGACAATCACATGCACATCTGTAAGAAAAAGAAGTTCAATTTATTGTGCAGGGGAATTGCACTGCAAAGGAACCATGGAATTGTCCTTGGCCAGTCTAAAGAGGGTTTGAGGAAGAGAGGACTGGTCTGGATTGGATATTGCCTGGAAGTGGGTGCAACTAATGATTGGTTATCTTAATAATTTTTATTTAGGAGCCAGGGAGATTAAAATGAAGTCGTTGGTAAAGAAGCAGTTGTCATTTTTGTTAGGAGAAAAGAGGAATGTATAGCTATTGAGTCTCCTAGTCACTGTCTTATTTCAGAGATGGACAGCATGACCTTTCCTCTCTGTATTGTGGGAATATCTCTGATGTTCCTTGGGAACCTCTGGGCTAGCTGCCAGCTGTGAGCTGTCATTCTTGAGTTTCTCACTTTCTCAAAATATTTGATGTCCATTAAAGTGAATCTGGTTTCCAGGCCCCGATTTCCCCCTAGTGACTTAGAGGGACATCAGCATTTAAGGTGGTATCCGCTGCGAGCTGATCACGTTTTGTCACCAGAACTAGATAAAGGGGCGTCTGAGGGATGCTCTGCAGCTATGGACCATGGTGGGCATAAGGGGACCGGAGAGAGGGACTGAGCACAATTTTATCAATAAGTCTCAGGATTCCTTTGGATTTTACCAACTTTTTCCTTATGCCAGGTGAACACAATTTCCAATTGAAAGAACTTCCTCTTTTCCCCAGGTAAGAGTAGCTGGGATACCAGAAACTTGTAATGTTTTCTGAGACTGAATCATTAACATAAACAAAATACTGGACCGCAAATTAATGGCCAAAATGCATCCCTCACACATTAGCACAACTTCTCCTCTAACTGTTGATGGCCTAAGTCTTTCTGAAAATTTTAATCTGGGGGCGAGAACTTGGGAGATAAACACAGTCATGTTCCTTATAAATAAGGGGCTTCCCTGACAGTAGAAGTTACAATGAGAAAGAAGACCATGGGCCTCTTCCCTTTGAATTTTCCTCCCTCTTGCTATGTTACTGCTTGAGCTTCTTGTGTGGGCTTCATATTTTCGCTGTCTTTCCACCACTCGTGAAGGGCAGGCTCCAGAGTGACCACGGCCAAGCCCCAGCTCTGCCAGCAGGCCCCATCTTCTCATGATTCTGTGGGCTTCTGTTTCCTGGTGTTTCTCTTCTTCCTGGCATCTTTCTTCATCTCGCTAGACTCTTCGTGAATTTTTACTGGTGGAAAAAGATGTCAAGATTAATAAGAAAAGAAAGATTTACAGCCTGAATGAGGGCTATGCTAAGTATTTTGACAGGGCCACCACTGTGTATGTGCAGAGAAAGAAATTCCCTGAGGTGGGTGAAGAAAGCCCAGCTGGGTAGCAGGGAGAATGCTGTCTCCATGAGGTCCTGTTTGGTGGTGGCTTCAGGGGGCCTTGCTGAACAAGCTTGGAGCCACTGTCCATAGCTCTGGCCAGTATAAGAACGGTAGACTCTGCCTTTTTTAATAAGTAATCAGTATCTTTTATCACTACAATGCACCTTCTAAAGGTAATATTTACGTTTATATTTAAGTTGTTCCAGGAGAAATTGTCTATAAAACAGTTAGGAATCATACTTGCAAAATTCAGAGCTCAGGCCAGAACCTCTGTTAAGTCACTTGTTTAAGCCCCAACCTCTAGATTCACCCACTCAGTTGCATTTGTTTTTCAAAGGAATAATTATACAAGAGGACTTCAAAGAGTTCATGGAACAAATAAAATTAAAAGATAAAAATATAAAATACAAATTTTTTTTTCCAATATACCAGTCATTTAGTCCAACTCTAAAGGTCCTGGGAATTTAACCTGCAAAGGCAGTCTTTTTTATGTTATTTGCTCAAGAAAAATGGGTGCCCTTTAAAAGTTTCTTTTTAATATTAGGAAACAATAAGAATTCTGAAGGAGGCAAATCAGGGCTGTAGTTATTTTCCATTAAAACCTTTGCAAAATTCCCTTGTTTATTGAATTAAGGACAGGAATTAACAGAGCACTGCTGTGCTGGAGAACTCTCTGGTGAAGCTTTCCCAGGCTTTGTCTGCTAAAACTGTAGCTAAATTTCTTAGAATAGTCTCTTAATAAGCTTATGTGGGCTAAGGAGCAACCATATTCCCAAGGTTGTGAAAATGAATGGCTGTGATTAGTTAAGGCCAAATTGTATCCTGTACCTTCAGAGGCCCTCGCTCTCCTCCCCCAAGTTATACCCATCTATAGTTATCCATCCATCCATCCATCCATCCATCCATCCATCCATCCACCCACTTATTCTTATATCCCTTCATCCTATCTATCTATCTATCTATCTATCTATCTATCTATCTATCTATCTATCTATACTTAACTGAGAGATTTCTCACAGCTTTTCTTTTTAGAGCAAAGGTAAGTTGGAGAGTAGCAACACCTCTCTCTGTTATGTGGAGTTATTTTGGGCTAAAAATCTAGGAATTTAGGAATGTGAGTTCTATCTTTAGTTCCTGGTAATTCACTGTGTGTCTTCTGAAAGATTCTGTATTTAAATGTTTTGGTTTCCTGACTTAATGTTTTCTCTTATTATAAACTTGTGTGCATTCATGTGTAACATGTGGAAGACACCAAAAGAAGAAAAAAAGAAAGAAAATGTAAACAAAACCACGTGTAAGTTTTTTCACTCTCAGTAACCCCACTGTGAACAACAGGATGTGAGACCAGAGGGTGAGGAAACTTGAAAGCATCCTGCCTGGACTATGATTGGAGGAACCGACAGTTCAAAGTCCAGCAATCCACCAGGAGATGAATGTATTCTTATTGGCCACTGGTCCAAAAAGAGTGAAACATATGTGAAGTCAACTTGAATCCAACCTGCAATCTGGAGCAGTCACCCAGGATTGCAACAATGTTAGCACCATCAGCCCCTAAAGTAGATGAACATTGACTGTGAGCAAGGAAGAACAGTGAAACCCCGGGAAGAGTGTGGCTGGGACATTCTTCAATGAGACGGGAAGCCAGAAAAATCTGAAAAGAGCAAGAGCCATCAAACTGGAAGATCGAGGGAGTCAAGCAGAACATTTCCGAGCAGCCATGCCTGCTTGTCGAAAAGATGACAAACCAGATACACCCTTTCCTCCTGCAGCACCAACTGATCCTAACAAGACAGCCCAAACCCACTGGCTTATCAGTACTGATGATGGCGTTTGGGTGAGAATGGGATCCGACTCTCTTCATCTCCCAAGACCAGATATTGATTTACGTTTCTGACAGGAATAAATGGAATTTTCTTTTCTTGATTATTAAAAAAAAAAGGAAGAAAGAAAAAGAGGCCGGGCGCAGTGGCTCACGCCTGTAATCCCAGCTCTTTGGGAGGCCGAGGCGGGTGGACCACGAGGTCAAGAGATCGAGACCATCCTGGTCAACATGGTGAAACCTCGTCTCTACTAAAAATACAAAAAATTAGCTGGGCTTGGTGGCACACACCTGTAATCCCAGCTACTCAGGAGGCTGAGACAGGAGAATTGCTTGAACCCAGGAGGCAGAGGTTGCGGTGAGCGGAGATCGCGCCATTATACTCCAGCCTGGGTAACGAGCAAAACTCCGTCTCACAAAAAAAAAAAAGAAAGAAATCACCAGAAGACTTGGTAATTTCTTGCCTGCAATGTAGTTTCAAGGGATGCAATAGAGGACAGTATAATATAATGATGTTCATTATAATTCTGAGTTGGAGCTGTTTCAAGATGATAATAATAGCTAACATTTACTGGGTGATTAATATGTAGTAAGCCCTGTTTTAAGTGTTTTACATGAATTAATTCCTTTATTCTCATAACAACTCTTGGAGGCAGGTACAGAGGGGGAAGATGAGGCACAGAGGGGTTCAATTACTTATCCAAGGTAAGTGCCTGAGCCAGGATTCAAACCCAAACATTCTGGCTGCCAACCCATACCCTTAACCACAACGTGACCCTGCTTGGAAACACACAAGTGGGGAAGAACCTTCATCTCCCAAATACTGGGGTGCATGGCTTAGGGCTGCCTAACCTGCTGGGAGACAGTGCCTCTTCTTTGCTGGCTGCGGAGGTTCTGCCTCCTTCGCCTTGGTTGCCTTCGTTCCTTTTCCCACTTTTTGAGCCGTGGGCCTGCTGGGTGTGGGCAGGGCAAAAGCCCAGGCAAAGAACACCCAATTCTGCATCTGGAGGGGAAGAGGAATATGTATCAGGCTGTTCCCAGGAATCCCGTGGCAGAGGGGACGGAGGGAGGAAATGAATAAGGAAACACTGCTACAGGGGTTTAGTATTTTGTTTTTTCATTTTTGTTTTTGACAATCGTTAGAGCATCAGGCTTGCCTAATTAGCAGTAATATTTCCTCACATTTTTCATGAATTCCACCTGGTGCAGTGCCAGATGTGATCTATAAAATCAGAATTCCTAGAGATGACAGGTCTGATGGTGATGAATTCCCTCCGTATTAGCTTTTCTGCAAAGGATCTTGTTCTCCTTTACCAGTGAAGCTTAGTTTGGCTAGATATGAAAGTCTTGGTTGTTGTTTCTTTTCTTTAAGAATGTTAATCATACCCTATGACTCATGGGGGGAAAAAAGCATGTTGAGCCTCAGCCTCCAATCTCTTCTGGCTTGTAGGGTTTCTGCTGAGAGGTCCACTGCTAGTTTGATGGGCTTCCCTTTGTAGGTGACCTGACCCTTCTCTCTAGCTGGTTTTGACATTTTTTCTTTCATTTCAAGCTTGGAGAACCTGATGATTATGTGTCTTGGGGATGATCTTCCTGTTAAGTATCTTACTAGGGTTCTCTGCATTTCCCGAATTTTCTGTTGGCTTCTCTAGCTAGGCTGGGGACGTTCTCACGGGTGATATCCTGAAATATGTTTTCCAGATTGTTTCCATTCTCTCCATCTCTTTCAGGGACACCAGTGGGTCATAGATTTGGTCTTTTTACATAATCCCATATTCCTCAGAGTATTTTCATTCCTTTTTATTCTTTATTTTTATTTATTTATTTATATTTTGAGACGGAGTTTCGCTCTTGTTTGTTACCCAGGCTGGAGTGCAATGGCGCAATCTTGGCTCACCGCAACCTCCGACTCCTGGGTTCAGGCAATTCTCCTGCCTCAGCCTCCTGAGTAGCTGGGATTACAGGTACGCGCCACAATACCCAGCTAAGTTTTTGTATTTTTAGTAGAGACGGGATTTCATCATGTTGACCAGGATGGTCTCGATCTCTTGACCTCGTGATCCACCCGCCTCGGCCTCCCAAAGTGCTGGGATTACAGGCGTGAGCCACCGCGCCCGGCCCTGGGTCAGGATTCTTAAGGGAAAGGACCTCTCCAGCAGGGCTGAGCTGGGGACAACATGGCCCTTCCAGCAGGAACTCACTGGAGACACCTGGGCCTTGTCAGTCAAGTTATTTTCTCACAGGCTATTGGGGTAAACATTTCCCTCTAGGGGCCCAGGACTGTCCCTGACGGAACTAAGGTCTCCCCAGGCCTCCAGGGCCCTGGATGTGGGTATCCTGCGGAGAGGAGGGGGCTTTTCCCGTCTTCCTGCCCCTGGGTCACTACCTGCTCCTCCTCCTCTATCGCTCCTCTGTTCTTTCCTTGGGTCCTCACCTTGGTCTGATTCGGGAGCCTGGCTGGGATCGGGATCGGCTTCCTAGCCCCGACCGCCTCCTCCTGTGGTCGGAGGGTGAACGTGCTGCTGGGAGGAGGGATCCTCACAGAGCTGGGGTGTCTCAACACCAAGGAGTTGCGAGCCGACAACACGGTTCTCCTCCTTAAGAGGAGCCTGCAGTCCACAGCAGGCGGGACCGCCACGGGGGCGCCCGTGTCTGGCGGTCTCCTGGGGGCGCCGAAGAAGCTGCCTGGAGAAGGCTTCCGACTCTGCTGACCGTTGAAGAGAAATCCGTAAGGGCCGGGGGTAAGCGTGGGCGCCACAGGGGGAGCCGGGCCAGGCTGGGACGCCTCCCGGGCTATGGGAGCGCGTGGTACACGGCCAGGCAGGGGCCTGCGGCGGGACCGGGGGCGAAATATACTTAATAAATTGCCCATTGAGAGCAAGGTACAATGGCGAGAAAACGGTCAGTAACGGAGACGGAGCTCGGTAGTCACCAACTTCTCTTCTGCCACGCGCGCACTAGGCAGCTGAGCGCTTGTGACGTCCCAGTGGGGCTGGTGAACGAGACAGGGCTCGTGAAGCGCGCGGGAGCCCCCCCGCCCCAGGGCACCTACCGCAGGGGTCAAAATGCTACAAAATAAGTAGCTTTTTTTTTTTTGAGACGGAGTTTCACTTTTGTTACCCAGGCGGGAGTGCAATGGCGCGATCTCGGCTCACCGCAACCTCCGCCTCCTGGGTTCAGGCAAATCTCCGGCCTCAGCCTCCTGAGTAGCTGGGATTACAGGCACGCGCCACCATGCCCAGCTAATTTTTTGTATCTTTAGCAGAGAAGGGGTTTCACCATTTTGACCAGGATGGTCTCGATCTGTTGACCTCGTGATCCACCCGCCTCGGCCTCCCAAAGTGCTGGGATTACAGGCTTGGGCCTCCGCGCCCGGCCATACAAAATAAGTTGCATTTTCATACGACAGTAACATCAAGGGGAAAACCCAATAAAGCATTCAATCCCATTTACAATGGTCAAAACAAATATAAATAAATATGTAAGAATACGTCTAACTAAGGAGGTGAAGGATCTCCACAAGAACTACAAAACACTGCTGAACAAAATCAGAGATGACACCAACAAATGGAAAAACATTACATGCTCATTAATTTGAAGAATCAATATTGATAAAATAGCCATACTGCCCAAAGCAACGTGTGGATTCAATACTATTCCTATCAAGCTACCAACATCATTTTCACAGAAATAACTAGGAAAAAGTAGTCTACAATTTTGTGTGTGTGTTATAGCCTTAATCTTTATCAAAATCATGTCACAGTTCCAGGATTCTTCTGGTGGAGACTGGATTTTCTAGGTGTGGAATTATGCGGCTTGACTTCCTCTTTTCTTATTTGGACCCTATTTTTCCTTTCTCTTGCTGATTGCTCTGGCTTGGACTTCTCGTTATGTCAACTGTATCTGAATATTTAAACCAGTATTTCTTCTATTTTCAACAGTGATGTGAATGTTAACCGTGAAAGAGAATGAGGCCGGGCGCGGTGGCTCACGCCTGTAATTCCAGCACTTTGGGAGGCCGAGGCGGGTGGATCACGAGGTCAAGCGAGTGAGACCATCCTGGTCAACATGGTGAAACCCCATCTCTACTAAAAATACAAAAAATTAGTTGGGCATGGTGGTGCATGCCTGTAATCTTAGCTACTCAGGATGCTGAGGCAGGAGAATTGCCTGAACCCAGGAGGCGGAGGTTGCGGTGAGCCGAGATCACGCCACTGCACTCCAGCCTGGGTAATGAGAGCGAAACTCCGTCGCAGAAAAAAAAAAGAATCAATACCAATCTTCCTCAATTCTTCCAAGGAATTAAAGAAAGGAAACACTCTCAAACTCATATGAGGCTGAAATTACCTTGATTCCACAACCAAAGCCACAAGAAAAGAAAAGACCTTTGCAGCTTCTATTGGCAGCCCTAAGCGTAAACAAAACAAATCAACGGGAACACTATCTCAGCAGTAGCAATTACACGGACAAATTGACTGCATTTCCTCACTGACAGGATGCAATGGCTGTGACCTAAATAGCTCTTTCGAAGGCTCTGACCTCCCCGACCTCTTCAGCAAACGGCCTGGGCAAATACACAGATGTCTTCCAGCAACAAGGGATCTATCGTCAGCCATTCCTCACTCGCACAGATGAGGATCTGAAGGAGCTGGGAATAAGTACTTCTGGTGCCAGGAGGAAAATGCTGCTTACAATTTCAGAACTAAATAAAAACCAAAGAAAGCTTTTTTTTTTTTTTTTTTTTTTTTTTTAAGACGGGTTTCGCTCTTGTTACCCAGGCTGCAGTGTAATGGCGCGATCTCGGCTCACCGCAACCTCCGCCTCCTGGGTTCAGGCAAATCTCCGGCCTCAGCCTCCTGAGTAGCTGGGATTACAGGCACGCGCCACCATGCCCAGCTAATTTTTTGTATCTTTAGCAGAGAAGGGGTTTCACCATTTTGACCAGGATGGTCTCGATCTGTTGACCTCGTGATCCACCCGCCTCGGCCTCCCAAAGTGCTGGGATTACAGGCTTGGGCCTCCGCGCCCGGCCATACAAAATAAGTTGCATTTTCATACGACAGTAACATCAAGGGGAAAACCCAATAAAGCATTCAATCCCATTTACAATGGTCAAAACAAATATAAATAAATATGTAAGAATACGTCTAACTAAGGAGGTGAAGGATCTCCACAAGAACTACAAAACACTGCTGAACAAAATCAGAGATGACACCAACAAATGGAAAAACATTACATGCTCATTAATTTGAAGAATCAATATTGATAAAATAGCCATACTGCCCAAAGCAACGTGTGGATTCAATACTATTCCTATCAAGCTACCAACATCATTTTCACAGAAATAACTAGGAAAAAGTAGTCTACAATTTTGTGTGTGTGTTATAGCCTTAATCTTTATCAAAATCATGTCACAGTTCCAGGATTCTTCTGGTGGAGACTGGATTTTCTAGGTGTGGAATTATGCGGCTTGACTTCCTCTTTTCTTATTTGGACCCTATTTTTCCTTTCTCTTGCTGATTGCTCTGGCTTGGACTTCTCGTTATGTCAACTGTATCTGAATATTTAAACCAGTATTTCTTCTATTTTCAACAGTGATGTGAATGTTAACCGTGAAAGAGAATGAGGCCGGGCGCGGTGGCTCACGCCTGTAATTCCAGCACTTTGGGAGGCCGAGGCGGGTGGATCACGAGGTCAAGCGAGTGAGACCATCCTGGTCAACATGGTGAAACCCCATCTCTACTAAAAATACAAAAAATTAGTTGGGCATGGTGGTGCATGCCTGTAATCTTAGCTACTCAGGATGCTGAGGCAGGAGAATTGCCTGAACCCAGGAGGCGGAGGTTGCGGTGAGCCGAGATCACGCCACTGCACTCCAGCCTGGGTAATGAGAGCGAAACTCCGTCGCAGAAAAAAAAAGAATCAATACCAATCTTCCTCAATTCTTCCAAGGAATTAAAGAAAGGAAACACTCTCAAACTCATATGAGGCTGAAATTACCTTGATTCCACAACCAAAGCCACAAGAAAAGAAAAGACCTTTGCAGCTTCTATTGGCAGCCCTAAGCGTAAACAAAACAAATCAACGGGAACACTATCTCAGCAGTAGCAATTACACGGACAAATTGACTGCATTTCCTCACTGACAGGATGCAATGGCTGTGACCTAAATAGCTCTTTCGAAGGCTCTGACCTCCCCGACCTCTTCAGCAAACGGCCTGGGCAAATACACAGATGTCTTCCAGCAACAAGGGATCTATCGTCAGCCATTCCTCACTCGCACAGATGAGGATCTGAAGGAGCTGGGAATAAGTACTTCTGGTGCCAGGAGGAAAATGCTGCTTACAATTTCAGAACTAAATAAAAACCAAAGAAAGCTTTTTTTTTTTTTTTTTTTTTTTTTAAGACGGGTTTCGCTCTTGTTACCCAGGCTGCAGTGTAATGGCGCGATCTCGGCTCACCGCAACCTCCGACTCCTGGGTTCAGGCAATTCTCCTGCCTCAGCCTCCTGAGTAGCTGGCATTACAGGCACGCGCCACCATGCCCAGCTAATTTTTTGTATTTTTAGTAGAGACGGGGTTTCACCATGTTGACCAGGATGGTCTCGATTTCTTGACCTCGTGATCCACCTGCCTGGGCCTCCCAAAGTGCTGGGATTACAGGCTTGAGCTACCGCGCCCGGCCCAAGAATGAGATTTTTCAAAAAGATCAACAAAGTTACAAACCCTTAACTGGACTACCTAAGAAAAAGGGAAAATAGAGGCCAGCACTTTCGGAGGTCGAGGCGGGTGGATCACGAGGTCAAGAGATCGAGATTATCCTGGTCAAAATGGTGAAACCCCGTCTCTACTAAAAATACAAAAAATTAGCTGGGCATGGTGGCGCGTGCCTGTAGTCCCAGCTACTCAGTAGGCTGAGGCAGGAGAATTGCCTGAACCCAGGAGGCAGAGGTTGCCGTGAGCCGAGATCGCGCCATTGCACTCCAGCCTGGGTAACAAGAGCGAAACTCCGTCTCAAAAAAAAAAAAAACAAAAAACCAACTTTGTGTTGAATGAATAAATTTAGACAGTACGAAGTATGTTCTGAAGTTCCAGAACAAGCAAAACTAAGATACAGCAATAGACATCACATCAGTTGTTACCTGGGGTGAGGTAGGATGGGAGTTGTCTGCAGAGGAACACAAGGGAAGTCTCTGGAGTGATGGAAACATTCTGTGTCTTTATTGACTATGGTTACATTGGTGTGGACATTTGTCAAAACTCATTGACTTTCATATTTGGAATTTGTATATTTTGTATATAAATTATAGTTCAATAAATATGTACATATATGTATATATATAATGTGGATAATACATTTTTATATATCATGATGTCTATCACTTCACAGCATATTATATTTATATCATACCATATTATAGCTACATAATGGCAAAAGATGAAAAGGATGCTGTATTTTGAGAAGGTCACAGAAATTATCACTTTTATTTATTTTTTATACAAATATGTATAAATCTTTCACAAAACAAATGTCAAAAATGTGGTATTTTCACTGCTCTATAGATAAATTATCATATGTTCTATCATGTAATAAATGTTAAAAACCTGGGTGTTCATTCGTTGTATGTGTTGACTTGTTCTATGTGTTTATATGCTCCCTGTTCTATAAATTCTCACACATTGTACACCATCCAATCAAGTGATGAGCTGCTCAGTAGATAAGTGCTGAACACTCTGCATCCCTCATCATGTCATGCACTTCAGGTCGTTTTCCTGTTGTCTTCCCCAGTAGACATTAGACATTTTCTTCCATCATTTTGGAGCATCCTGGAGAAACAGCTAGACACAGGGGACATATTGTTATACCTTGCTTATTGTGACTTGGAATTATACATATTGAAATACTGTAAAGATTTGCTTTATTTTTATCAGCATGCCTATGTGAAATTAGATTTCAACTCTA